TACTACAAGTCCTGATTGCTTTTTCCTCTAAACCAATACATCTACAACCTGGATACTTGACCAATTTCCTATCAAGACATTTCTATCAATCTGGATCTCCTTAATAAGAACTGGGTAAAATTTTCACTTGAGACATACAGCATTCTTTACAAGAGAATCAAGTCAAGCTTTTTACTTTCACTGTCAGTGCTGAGTCTTATTAGAAATTTTTTACATTTCTTTAATTTAAAAATGGAAATTTCAGGAAAGGCATATTGGATGAGGGCAAAATAAATTATTCACAACCCATATTTACACAAGTTTTTCTTAAAACCCCAAAGACTCCAGAACATATTTCTAAGGCAGCTTCTAAGATTGTGAAAACCTGACCTGTAATACTCTATACAAGAAAGGAACTGTGCAGAAACAGCTGTGTTCACTGCAAGCAGACACGCGTGACTCCATAAGGATGCTAGCAGCAAGTACAGTGCACCAGAATGAATTATCAAAAAGCTGCCCAAAGAACAAAAGTGGCTTCTTCATAATTTAGTTAAGTTTCTGTAAATCCTGGCAATTAAGTTAGACATTTAACAAGAAGATTCAAGGCAGAATTTTTGGTAGTACATTATATCACCCAAAATACTAGAAAAACTATGGGCTGAATAAGATTATGAAATCAAGAGAAATGCACAAAGCCAGATGTAGTCCTTTGAAGCACAGGTACTATTTGGTAATAAATTCCAAACACTGGTAACAAGCTAGCCATGTGTGAAACAAAGATAAGCACATAAATCAGTGGTAAGATCATGTGATTAAGTAGGTGTTAATTAACAGAAGTCCATTTGCACTCTTAAACCTGCACCTCTTCATTAACCTGAGACTTTCCTTCAAAATTTCAAGTAAATGTGTTAATTTTAAGCCAGCAGTGAACATATGCCATGAATGCACACTAAACAGACATTCTCTGAAAGGCAGCTCAAAATGGCATTGCTGGGTTTCAGGTTTGTCTACGGAATTCCCCGTTCCATATAAGTAGTTTAAAAGTTTTTTTAAAAAGAGTCTGAATTGCCAGCCATCTGTCTGGGACTGTAAAGCGGAAGGGGTTGCGGGGACAGGGCAAGACTTCAAATATCTTACTTTCAGAACATAATGAACAGGTTTGGCTTGTTTTTTTTCCTAAACGAGGCACTCCTTTTGATGATATAGAAGCTTGAATAAAAATAACACATTTCTCTTTGCTTTAATTCTCATGCAGAACTAAAAGAGTAGAAAATATTTTTTTAAAATAAAACAGCATCTCATTTGGGACACTTGTTGCTGTAACTATTATTAGTTAGTATTGCAATAGCATACAGATTTGTTGGGTCAGAATGGGAAGTTTTTGCAGTCACTTTTCACAGCAGAATTACACTGTAAAATACTAAAATGAATAATCCAAAAGAGGGGAAAAAAGTAAACCATGCAAATCTTGAATACATTATTTTGTTTAGCAAATATCAGGATCTAAAAGAAAATGCTAAATTACAATAAAGTTTTCTGCAACAGAGAGATACAATATTACAGACTTTCCAATACGATGTCTGCTATGTTTCAGGGTTTCCTCAGCAGGCACCTGCCCCTATTTAACCATATAAGCAGATATATGTACAAAAAACCCCCCTGATTTCAGCGTGTACTATAAAACCTATTTTTTAATCAGGTCATCCCCAGATTCCATGCTGAAATCAGTGCCTGCAATAAAATGCAAGATTACACATGTAAAAAACTGCTGAATTTAGGATTTATTGGAAACCTAAGAGGAAGGATGGGTATTACCAACATTTTTAAATAGTAACACTTGTGCCTGAATGACTTTTAGGCTATTGATGTTAAAAATGAAAACTAGTTCTACTTACTGAAACACCTGGATTTTTAAGGTATTTCATACATGACTGTTTTCTGTACAGAAAGTTTTTTTGTTGGTCAGGATTTTGTTATTGCAATAGGAAAATGTGGTTGCAAAACCACAAAAGATTGCAGATGTATATTTACAATAACTTTCCAATACAGTATTTTAAATCAACTACATTTCAAAACCAGTAGTGCACATTACAACTGGTATAGAATCAAAATTAAAAAGGAATTTAAAAAATCATGCACAATTATAAAAAATCTTGTACTGCCATATCAGCATGGAATTGATTTAAATCAAATTAATTTGAACCATGATTTAAAACACAAATTAAATCACTGGTAAGGAAGCCTCAATTTAAATTATTGTTTTCTACTAAAAGTGCATTCTTGCAATTTAATATCCTTTATTCTTTTAACTTCTTCAAACTTTGCACTTTTAGAGAAAGGTAAGGGCTTGACTGTGTGTACGCAAACTTGCAGAGAGACAAGAGGGCTGAGGGGTAGGTAATCAGGTCTGTCCTCTCATCTCCATATACTGCTGTTACAAGGATGTTATCTCTGGAGACCCAGATCCACAGTTTGAGAACTGAAATTAAGCATCACACCGATGCTTAATGGGATCTTCTAGACTGAGCACTAAGTCCCATTGGGTAGAGTGGATTTCTTTAATCTTTACTAATCTATACAGGAGCTTCTGGGAACCCCATAATATTGGGCCCCTAATGGCCTGTTGTGACCTATTTAGAAAAAATTTCAAAAAAAAGTTACATTGTCTCAGATAGTATATAATTAGAATATATTTTCTCAAATAGTCTATAATTAGAAGTTATAATCCCTACTCCATGATGATATCTTTGATCTTTAACATATCTTAAATTAAAACTATCTTTATATAGGTTTTTTTTTTTAAATCTTAACAAAATAATTAAAATGGTAAAATAAAAATATCCAATTTAAAATGTTTAAAACCAATTTTTTTACATATTTTTTTTAAAAGTTGTTTTTTATCCACCTTGGTCACAACTAGAAAAAAAAATTGTGGTTGATTTATCAATATCTATGATTAATCCTGGATCGGATGCTTCCTAGACACAGAGTTAATTCAGTGGTGACCTTCTGTGCTCCTGGTTTAGATTTGAAGCCTACGGAATGTGTGCCTGGCTAACTCAGTGACTGCTCCTTATGTTAGTGCTCTGATATGCCAGACTACACCCTTCAACCAGTATTCAGACCCCTATATGGAATCCTGAAAATGCGAGGAAGGTCACCCTATACTCCATTAGCTCGACAGCCTAAATTAGGTTTTTGTAGCTCTTATACACATGCTACGCTGTCCCATCAACATGGAATTAACTAAATTCAAAGTTCATTTCATGCCAAAACACAGTTGACAAACAGCTACCAGGCAATTAATTCCAAGTTGCCAAATAAAAATTATTTTCTTAAAAAAACCCCAAACAAAACAAAAACCTATCGTGGACTTGCATCGGCTTTGAAAATCTCTAGTCTCTCTTAGTAAGCAAACAGTAAGTCTCAACTTAAGTCAGCGAACTGGATTCCACACCATTAACATTGATCATTGCCCAATTCTCCATAGCCTTCTTTGCAACATTTCTCGCCAACGCGCAAAAAAGGAGCAGATTTTCCTCAGCTCAGAGGCAACAGTGGCTGGGGAGGCAGAAATCGAGATCATCACCTGCACCTGACAAGCAAAAGAGGGCTTGGCAGAGGTGAATAGGAGAACCATACAGGAAAGGGGGCAAATAAGTATTGGAGGGCATCAAGGCTGCTGGAAGGGGTTGCTGTGGAGGAGAATCTGAAAGATGGTGCGTGGGAGAAGAAAGGGCAGAGGACGGTGGCAGTCTTCCAAGGCTCCTGTTCTTTCCTCTGCCCTCCCCTGCAATTCTTGCTCCATGTTCCCAGATGCTTGCAGAAAACAGCCACAAAAATCCTCACAGGCAGGGAGGATTAGCTACTGCTGCCTGGAGCCCAGCTGAGGGCACAGAATAGCTTACCCGAGATATGTGGCACTTGACAATGCTGAACACCAACGTAATGGCCACACAATGAATGATACCAAGACCACCCACAATGGCTCAGAATTAAGCCTTCCTAAACTTAGGAAAAGTCAGCTACAGACATAACATTTCAGCACGTTTTAAATAAATACACGAACTAAATAACTTCTGGAGTTCTTCCAGAAATCCACTGTCCTTCAATAGAAATCAAATTACAGTCATGGTCAGTAGCACTGAATTAAGCAAAAATAGCTTTATTCAATTAACAAGCCTGGACGGAATGACTGAGAATAGCAAAAATTTGTCAAAAACAGTCCAATTAAGTGAAAGAAATCAGAAAGCTATAAAAAAAAAAAAAAAAAAAAAAAAAAAAA